TATGTTTAAAACATAAAAATAAAAAGGTTTAAAAAAGTTATTGTTTAATGTTTTAAGGAGGTGACGCTACTCAGCCAATCAAATCGGTGCAGTCAGCAGGATAGATTAAAACACAGAGACGAGACAAGAGGAGAGAAGCAGTCGGAGTAATTTCAAATGGCGGAAGGTAGACAGCGAAAACAGAGCATTTAATTACATTTTCTCTTACTGGACCTCTTTGAAATGCAATTCAATACCCCTGCATTATAGCAACAATAATAATAATAACAGCAATAATAATTGGGAGGGGGGGCGCGGCTGTTCTTATGTTCTCTGAGGGGAGGCTCACCTACCCACACTTTGAAAACCCCTGAGCTAAGAGATTACGGTTGTCATCACATTCACTACATGTATGCAAGTCAAGTTGTTGCACAAAGAAGCCCTTCAAAAGAACATGGCCCACTTCACCACTAATTGCGTGTGCAAATTGCCTGCTTGAGCTGTGGAGCGAATGCAACACGGCTGGCACTGTTATACCCTGAATGCTCTTAATGATTGGAGAGCTCTCTAATCTGATGGAGAGGACTCTGTAGTGATGCTGCTGTTAATTAATGTGCTGTGCTTCAATTTGACTGCACATGTGTAATGTATTTCTGCAACAACAAACATACAATTAATTAAACAAATGTCTATTCTTTTCACGTTACACTGTTCCCACAATCACCAACTCTGGTTAGAGAGTTTGAAAAAAAACAAAAGTCACCACCATAACTGCTTTGTATTCTTTACTATGCTTCCTAGCATGTTGGACATAGCAACTGAAAGGCACACTCATCTACTGGCAATCAGAAAGTTGGGTTTTTTGCGAGTTTCCGCTTTTAAAAAGATTATGCTAATTTCTGTGGTAAAAAGGGGGATCGGCTTCATTTGTATGCCTCTCGATAAACTCTATATAACTCTCAATAAAATAAAGAGTGGCTTTGTTTTTACAAATGTAAACTGAGGCATATCCCTGCTAGGTCTGGGCACAGACCTCAGCACCACCACGCAGTCGGGCGACCTTCCTCCAAAGGAGCGCGAGAGGGACCGCGGCCGGACCAAGGACCGTCGCCACCACCATCACCACCATCACCATCACAGCTCCATGGACAAGGAGCGCTACGGCCCTGAAAGACACGACTACCCCCCCAGGCACCCCCAGGACCGCCACTGGTCCCGCTCCCCCAGCGAGGGGCCGGAAGGACGAGGACACAGACAGGTGGGCTCCAAAGACACCGAGGTTAATGCCAAGATTAGGGACAGCTTCTCAGTTCTGTCCAACACTGTCTGTTACTGTTCCTTCTTCTTCATTTCTATATTTGTAGAGTTTCTTATATAACGTGTGTAAGTGTATGCAGGTTGGATAAAGACCCAAATAGCCTTGAGATGTTCTGTACTGTCGTTAAGTCAATCTTGAAGTCACAGTAGCATTTCTTTAGTTAAGATCACGCTACATGATTTCAAAGTTGTCAGATTGCTGTATTGTCCAAATTACACAATTAGCTTTCTTGAAGTCATTGTGGTTTTCACACAACATGACCAACCTGCAACCCAACGGTCAAATTACATGATCTTTAACCCGGAGAAATTCCAGATGAGTATTCTAACATCTATTCTCCAAAAATTCATGTACGTCCGGTATCGGGCAATCCATAAAGTTATTCGGCCGATCCCTACTTCAGGTTTCCTTTCCAACCAAAGTCTTGCGATCCATTTGGCTTTCTCTCCCTCTTGAGCAAGTCAAGGAAGTCGTGCAGTGTGAACTAGCCGTCAGGTATTAAAATAAAAAGATCGATATGTTTCTTGCAAATCAAATGCAAGAATCAGCTGTGTTTGTTTTACACTAGATCAACAATGTAAGGTTTGAATTCCAATATAGCACCTGCTACAACGACTCTTTATTATCGAGTAAAAGTTCACGAAGAGTCACACACCTACTTATGGATATCAATTTCTCCTTTTTGTGTTACGCTTTTTTTCTTTATCACTGTTTCTCTTTCTGTCCATTTTTCTCAACGTGACGTGTGGCTTCTTGATGTCAATTATTTGCCTCATCAATGTTTTTGAATGATTTTCAATGGTGTTCTATCTATCTATATATCTATCTATCTACCCTAACTGCCTACCTACCTTTCTATATATCTACCCTACCTACCTACCTGCCTACCTACCTACCTACCTACCTACCTACCTGCCTACCTACCTACCTCCTACCTACCTACCTACCTACCTACCTACCTACCTACCTACCTACCTACCTGCCTACCTACCTGCCTACCTACCTACCTACCTACCTACCTACCTACCTACCTACCTACTTACCTATCTACCTACCTACCTACCTACCTACTTACCTCCATACCTACCTCCTCTCTGCTCTACTCTGGTCTCTGTTGTTGTTGTTGTTGTTGTTGTTGTTGTTGTTGTGGTGGTGGTGGTGCGTTTTGATTTTCCTTGTTTACATTTTGCTGTAGGGCAGTAGTTCGGTGAGCGGCAGCCCGGTCCCCTCGACCTCGGGGACCAGCACTCCGCGGAGAGGCCGTCGCCAGCTGCCCCAGACCCCAGCTGTCCCCCGTCCACATGTAACCTACTCCCCCGCCGTCCGCAAGGCCAGCTACGGCCCCCCAGGTCCGGGCCGACTGCGCTCGCCCTCCCCCCGACACTTCTCCCCTCCAGACCACGAGAGAGGCTATCACCATCGACCCCCGTCACGCCAAGCGTCTCCCCAGCACGGGGGGTCCTCATCCCTGCACGGTTCCCCGCGTTCCCCCAGGCACCAGTCCCCGCGCTCGCCTCTCCACGGCTCCCCCAGGTCCCCTCACCGAGGCCGTTGGAGCGGGGGTCCGCCCGGGGACAGCCTGGAGGGCGACGGGCCCTTCTATGAGCGCGACTACGAGTACGAGCGGCACCACGAGCCCCCTGCCTACGAGCAAAGTCTCTCTCATGGCAACCCCCACCCACATGGGGGAAACCCTCACCCACGCTCACCTAGGACTGCCCACCATGGGCCCCCTCAGCCCCCTCACCCGCATCCACGTAGGGTGCCCAATGGTTACCGCTCATCCTCACCCTCCCCACATAGGCGGGGGCCACCCGGGGTGCCACCACATCCACACCAACGGCCCCCCCATGCTCGAGGGCCCCGCAAGGGCTTGCATGAACCTTATAGTGAGACGGACGAGGATGACTGGTGCTAGCAACCACAGGGCGCGAGGGATGAGGGCAGGAGAGGAGAAGAATAGCAGCCTCCGGTGCTCTGGCCTTGGATATGTAGACTTTTAAAAAAGCAGAGGGGGTGAAAATATGAATGGGGGTTGGACACCCTCTACCTTCACCCTTCGGACTCTAAATGAGAAAAAAAAGGGCGGGGCGAGGGGGATGGAGGTTGCTGCAAAAAGCCTTTTTACAGATTTTCTGTAAGACTCATTTCAGTGACAGAGCAGCACATGGATGAAATGAAAAAGAGACAGCCAAGACAGCTAGGGCGAGGCCCGGGCACAGTTTACCTCTCTCCTTCTCAGAACTACACTTCCCAGATTTCTATGCTTGACCAGCAAGGCCAGGCTGCAGAAGGAAAAGAAAGTTGTGGGAACAAAAAAGCGAAGGAGGAGCATATAAAAAGGTCAGGGATGATCACGGTTTATGAGCCCTAACAGGGCTTCTCCCAGACTGTCGCCTGATTGGTTAGTTTCGTCAGATGTGTGCTATCTGTCGCTGGCCAGTCTGCTAAATGTAAAAGCCTGAAAATTAGTCCACTGCTTTGAGTTTGCTCCTCGAACAGATATGTTTAAAGAAAAATAAATTAACAAAAAGCCAGGACCCCCTAACCCTTACATGCCAAGCTATGCCTCCAGAAAATCAAACTTGAACAATGAAGAACAAAATCAAACTTTACATGACAAACAATGAAAAGAAAAAAAGGGAGAACAACCACTTTATCTTTGACCTTTTTCCTTTCCAAGGGACAGAACCAGGAAGCTCCGCCTATACTGCAAAAACCAGCCAATCACAGCGCTGGCTGATATTTGATGAGTTTTATCATCTCTGTTTACTGTTAAAGACTCACTTAATGCTGACGGAGCTGGTGTGACATCACTTCCTGTTCGCCAGTGGTGATAGTGGAGGGGGGTGGGGCACGTGTGGGCTCACTTCCTTTTCGAGTGCGCAATTGGGGGGGTGGGCTCAGATAACTTGAGAAGGTAGTCGGACACTTCGTCAAGCCCCTTCCTCCTCAGTTACACGACCTGGTGCAAAGGTGAGGGATGACCTGACAGGAAATTACATCACACGTTGAAAAGGGCGGAGGAGAGGAGAGGAGGGATGGGGAAAAAGACGTATTTCTTCAGTATTTCTTCTATCGATTACTTCTCCTTCTTGTTCTTCTTCGGACATTGGAGCTTGGTTCTTCTGTTGCATTCGCTCAACCTCCTTTGATCTTTTTCGGAGTCCAACATTTGATGGAAACCTGCATGATTGATTAAGTACATACTAGAGAGGAAATCTAACTGGTGTGGGTGGGACCTGGGGGCTTTATAGGAAACTTTGCATTTAAGTTTACAAAAGAAGTCCTCGTCTTTCAGACACTCTTTCTCTATTTTACATCTCAAATGGGACTTACGGTTTGACAGTCGGCCATTTTGTTTGAGTTTTCTGCCGACACTGTTCGAGATCTATGTGTCAACAACCTGTAAAAAGACTGGAAGACCTGCAGGATCACATTCCTGTTTTCTGCTTGAGAAACAAGAGGGAGAAAGAGTGGAGAGAAGCGGACTCCTACCACACTTGATTTATTATTGTTAATGATGATAGTCTTATGAATAATGATATCAATGTCAATGCAAAATGATGATGACAATGATGATGATGATGATGATGATGATACTGATGATTGATTGTTGATTGATTGATTGATTGATGGAACTGTTGCTGTAGATTTGTTGTCCTGTTATTTGGAGTTTAAGTATGCTATGTCCATCTTGTTTACATCCGTTATGTTTTTTATCCCCCCGTTCAATCACGTTTACCGGGTTCCTAATGCTTTGGGGCAAGGATGGCTTGGGAACATCCACTTTGCAGCGCTGCGTGTTGTAACGCAACTCTTAAGATACACTCTCTCTACACAATGGTGAAGGTAGAAGTCAGGGGAGCTTCAGTACCTGACATGCAAAGATGTGTGGGGTTCGTACTCTTGTCAAGCCAACCCAAAGATCAAGAATTCAATTTTCAAAGGGTGGGGTAGACCGGATCAATGAGAATGTGGAAGAGTTTGTGTTTTACATTGCAGAGGTTTCAGACCAACCTGAAGTTAAAGTTCTACCAAGGTTGAATTCTTCCACTAGCAGCCAAAATCTAGAATCTCAACCTTTTCCCTCTGTCTGGCTCTGTCATTTTGTAGTGCGATCAGTTGCCGGCAGTGACAGCACAGTATTGGTGGTACAATGTTGGTGTCAGTATTAGGTAGGTGTTGTTCTCTATGTTTGCCACCAGGGGGCAGTTATCAGCGCACATTATCCGCCCTGCCTTCCCCCTCTACAGGACAGCCTCCAGGCCACATTCTGTTTTCTAGACCTGGACTGAAAACCTCTACGTATACCTGTCTCTTATATCTTTGTAAGATATATAGACGAAGTCCAGTCGCAGTCAGGAAACATGGATGTAGCCTGAGAGACGCCATATCTGTCCGTTTGTCGGCCCGTCCTTCTGTCTGCCTGTCTGTGCCAATGCTGACGACCCCTCCCTCCCCCAACCCCTTCTCTCAGGTCTGGATAACCAGAGAACAGTCACCAAAATCCCCAATCCAATCATATGAGGTTGTAGCAAAGCTGAAACCTCTTCTGCCAAAACCCACTACAGTATCCGCCAACCTCTCTTTCCTCATCTACCTTTTTCTTTTTCTGTCCATTTGCTTTGACATCTGTTCTTTCAGCTTGCCAGAAAGCGACACTGAAGACACTAAAGGCATTACAAGACAGAAACACTTATAGGACTTCTATTGTCATCCTTATTTTTATGAGGGAAAATAATTATTGAGTATTCAATAACTCTTAAGACAAGATGATAAAGTATAGATAAATATATAGATGATCAAGTACGTATAAATCTAGATATAAACCAGTAGATGTAGTTATAGATAACAGACAGAGTATAATTAGAGTTTCAGATATTTATTTATTTTGCATACCGTTCATGCTCATGACACGGTTGACGATCTAGCTACTCTTGGAACCTCGCACTGTTTTCTTCGCAGTCGCATAAGCCAGAAGACAAACCCCAGTCCACGTGTTTTGACACTATGCAGACCTCATAAGCATCCTCATGGTATTATTTCGGAGGAAACCCTGCAACAATACGGTACTGTAGAACGGATTAACGAATCTAATCGTAAAGATCGACACCTCGTTTGCACACGTCTCTTGACATCACACAGTGAAACCCCTTTTGTCACCTTTTCCCTCATCTTTTTCTCTCCTCTCCCGAAATGTGTTGCCTCCAGGCCTAGTAGTTGAGCATAGCGTAGTGAAGATGGGGATAGGGGGGTTTTCTTTTCGTTGATTTGATTGGCGGGAGTCGAGGGGGCGCAAATACATAACCCCTCTGCCCACACCTTCTATTAAGTAAGGTTACGACAGGTGGGGACGTTTTCCTCAAAACCCCTACAGAGCCACAGTGCCTTCTGTATCAGAGTCACATTTGTCACTCCCCATTCTCCTCGCCCTTAGTACCCCCCCTTTACCCTCTGTAGTAGTTGACATCAACCACACTACGCCTTAAAGAGTCAAGTCCCACCGGCTCCCATGCTAGTTTAGAAACGGGGATAGCGGTGGTTTTGAGACTGGGTCACAGTGAGGGATGAGCCAAGAGGCTAGCTTTGAAGTAGCGAAATCCATACCTGACCTAATCGAAAAAATATCTAATTCAAAGATAAACATATATTTGGAGTTGCCAAAAAATCGAAAGAGATCCAAACAGTTTGAATCAGAGCCTCATGGTTTTGACGTCATTGTTGATTTATCGGATGCTGCTAACGAGCTAGCCCTCTTGGCTTCAACTCCCTGTTAGGCAGGGCATTTTGTGTCAATCCAGGAAATGTCGTGGGTCCAGTTTCAGGCGGTGTAGTGAGAGGTTTACAGAGGTGCAAAGCGGTTCGCTTACTTCTCAGGTCCCTCTAGAGTTAGCTAGCTAGTTAGACAACATAGGGAAAAGACAGCTACAAAACAAGCAGGCCTCGGATTGAGTTATTGTATGGTTTTACCTGGCATGGCGTCAGACGTTGTAATGTTGACCCCC